GTGAACCGATAATTGCTAGCTTGAATCCTGGGTTGGCTTTGGAGTGTCTTTCGTTAAAGGTTTCACTTCAGTGGAGTCAACGGAGCGAGCTTTGACAACAGGCCCATTTTTCGAAAGCCAACAAGTGCAGAATCATGCCGAAGAGTATGTTATTCTGCATTTTTTTCCTTGAAGTCAAGTGTTCGCTTCACCTTGTTTCTACACCGAAAATTGTTTTTCGCCGCGTACAGGTTTTCGAAGACACCGCGGTTCCTGCAATGATTGCCTGCTGCGTCTTTCCTGTGTTTGATTTGCTTTTTTTGTACCTTTCTTAACGATAAATTGAAAAGCAATGAACCGTATTGATATATTCGAAATCTTGAGGTTCTCATTGCTTGACAGTGAACCATCGGCGATCCTGAAAGGCTGTCACCGGCAAAACCTCGCAAAGCTCGGTCATTCACCACGTTCACGAGAAAAAAAAAAGCGACTACCCTCCTGATCCCGAACATATCTTACAAAAAAGAACTCTGCTGTAGCAGCGCACAGAAGGAAACAAATACATAGACGCATACACAAGCGCTGTATTGCAGCTGATGAATTATTCTCGAATTACCAAGCATATGTTCAAGAACTTGAACATGCGCACTGAAAACGACGAAGACTGTATTAATAATAATAATAATAATAATAATAATAATAATAATAATAATAATAATAATAATAATAATAATAATAATAATAATAATAATACAAGCATCTAAACACACACGGTGCTGATAAGAAGGTGCAAGAAAAAAAGAAACTATGCGTTTATATACCAAGGCATTGGCGCGCTTTCTTAGAGAAAAATGTAGTACATACTGTAGAATAAATTATCGCTTGCAGTACAGCGCTTGTGTTTGCGTCCTATATGTGTGTGTTTTTGTTTCGTTCTGTACGCTGCTTTGTCAATAGATTATGGCTCGCCATAGAGCCAATCACCACATATTGAGCAAATAGGAACTTTTTGCTTTCGTTTTTGTTAACAAATTGACACTTGCTACGGGTGTAAAAAAGAACCTTTTTGTTTGCGTTCAGTAGTCTTCGATGCTAAGTGTACCACCTCTTGTTGTGTGGTAAAAGTAAAAAGAAATCATAGCTACACAAAACCTTAACAGGAACTTCGATCGGACAGGGAACTTCTTACACAGAAGAAAGCGAAAAACAACCATACACATAAAAGCACACAGTGAAGTGTAGATTTCACCAATAGGTTGCTCGTAAGGACGCGAACATCAAGGCGCCGAGATTAATAAATACGGTGACTAGCCACAGCATTCACGCCTATTTTTTGCGCGAGTGTCATTGTTATACCCATTAGACCAACACTGTGGCCTTCTGAAGACGCCAACACTGTGTAACATATTACCGTGTATCTGAACTCGCGGATTGTGATGAAACTATAGCCAATAAACGGGAACACAATTAGGCGAACTATCAACTTCTTCATATGCATGACGTGGCCTACATGGTGTCTCGGCTATCTCTAGCCGCAGTTTAAAAATGTGCTGAAGCACCCTGTGGCAACTCAACCAACTGAAAATTCCTGACAGTTGTGCGTAGTGAGCCACAGCGTTTTTCTTTTCTGCCTAATTGAATAATTAGGCAACATGATTAATCGATTTCTGAAGCAACGGAACAAGACAAAAATTCCAACGAAAAAGTCAAGAATCGATTTGCAAAACTCGTTATTGGGCAGCTCTCAACCTGTTATCTCATAAATATTCTTGGTTCCACATTTCTAAAGATGAGCACGAAATCGATAGAACATTACCGCGTGACCCGCCTACCCAAGTGCCGTGATTAGCACACGCGCTGCAATTGAAACGTTTTCAACGCTTGCATCTGCCTTAAGCCAGAAAGTAATCATCATAAAATAGATAGAAATTTCTAAACAGTCAAATTGGATGGTTTGGAAAGGTATCCATAACTCACTAACGGAAATTTTGCAGTCAGTTCCGATGCTGAGAAATCGGAGAATTATTCTGGCCTAATTAAGTCATTAACAATAACGCAAAAACTGCGTGCCCTACCCACTGTATAGCAGTCAGCAAAATGCTGAAAAATGACACAGGGAGCAAAGATCGCCAATGGCCTTTTAAACTAATAGAGCCACCACCCGCTTTGGCAGATGAAGAGAAGTTTTCCACACTGATCTATGAAACACACGGTTCCTCTTTCTACCTCTGTCTTTCCTGTACAATCGCATTAGACCTCTATTTTCCAGAACGCTGACTCAAACACGAATATATATCATCTGTTGTGTACAAGAAGCAACGTCAGTTGCTCAACCCATGTTTTTTTGTGACACTTGTCATATTCGTCATGGCGCCGGTTCGGTACTGCTTGACAGAACAATGAATGTCGAAAAGAATTGAACGTTCTAGAAAGTATCCGTCAAGCATACGATTAACAGCGCTCTTGAACACTTCTTCCCGAATCGGATTCGGTGAAGATCCGGGGTGGAAACGTTACCCACGCACCTTGCGGTTAATTTGGAGAAACGGCAGAGGCATAGTGCAGATATATTCGGAAAAAGGTCTCGGGAGGATAAATATATGCAGACGGGAATGCGGTAATTAAGAGACAGTTTGATTTTGCTTCGTGTTGCACTTAGCTATTCCCTGTTCAGCCCAACATTCTTATACTTTCTTTTTAAAATTTGGTTGGCCGTAGCATCAACGCTGCTACGCGAGCTTCATTTTTTTTTTTCGTTCGCTTGTAAGACAACTTGCACTGACTAGAATGTATAAATAATTGTGGTGCAGGGCGGAGGGTATTTAATTAAACTGAGGCTGCTAGAATATGTATGCAGGTCTGATCTTCATGCGGGAAATCGCATTTATACGTCTGAAGTCGAAAAAAATAAAACCAGAGAAAAAAAAACTGAAGTCCTCTAGGCAGCTTTCTTTTCTTGATTCAAATGTGCCTTCATTCGCCTGCCCACTCAATGAACGTTCCCTGTCTGACAGACATGCACAATTAGCCAGTTCAACTGACTAGTTTTTATGCCAGCCATTTTGTTAACACCGCTAACAGTGCAGACGACAGTGGGATTGGCACGAACAGATGGAACACTTTTATGAGTTTCATATGAGTGCGGCTTTGTGTATCCGAGATTTTTAACTGCATCAAGTTGAGCATGAGCGCAGGTGGCTTCAAACTTCCGGTGCATTATCATATTATGCGTTTAATATGTTGTGGAAGACGTCTTCAAGGAATGAAAAAAAAACATATACAGAAACACAGATGATTACTCTATATCGACATACAATACCCATTTATTGAGCAATAGACTTTTCAAGGAGACTTTTAATAGGATTCCAAACAAGCTTAAAGGGTTTGATCTCGGCCACGGTGATCGCATTTCGATTGCGGCAAAATGATTGTGCACGTTAAAGAGCAGCAATCGGACGAAATTTCCGGAGTCCTTCGCTACGATGTGCCTGAAGTGATAACTTGGTTTTGGAGCTTAAAACTCCTGATGTTACTATTGTAAAAATTCCGCAACACTGAGATGCTATTCATTCTAAGTTAGAAACGTGTTCCAGTCTCCAAGTTGTTTTTTTCCCATGGGGGAACTTTCCTTTTGTTTTGAACAGAATAACAATACAGAGATTATTTATACCGATAGTCGTAAGTGACTAGTGACCACTACAATGCAATGTGCACAAAGAATGTGCAGTTCAGTTTTGCAGGGAGAGACAAAAACGATTATATTATTACAGACAGTCCACGCATACACTTTTTTGGCGAACATTCAAATTTATCAGGTTGCAACTAGCTCACTGTACACAGCACTCATCAGAAAAAGAAACAACACAACGAAAATCAAATCAAACAGATGTACACACGTCTCAATGAAAAGGTGATTTGCACGCTAGGCCGAAAGGACGAGTTTTAATCTCAAGGGGAATCGCGTACTATATTTTTTTCGATTAAATTCTATCAGTCCTTCTCTATAAATATTGCAGCATTTGAACGGATTGAAATCGCCATTAGAAGCATGTTGCGCATTACGTTTAGGAATTGAGAAATTATCAGCAGGCAAAGGCGAATTTCAATTAATTATGTTATTTGTAGAAACAGCAATTCTGTTGTCGTGCAAAGTCGCAGCCGGGAGAATGCATTGTGACTGGAAAGTGTGACCTACTGCTTCACCTCGGCTTATTGATTTTCAAGGTACGCTTTCGAATTCCTTCGAAAGCCTTTAGATTACTCTTCTACGTAAGACCCCACGTAACACCCCCCCTGTCATATGACAGGGGCGCAATGAAAAGTAGAGCGTACGAAATATGGCTTTTGAAAAAATACTGGCGAGCTCTTATTAAAGAATAGCAGCGATGGGCTACTATTGCGCACACACTTTCTGTACTTACTCGTGCCAGTGTGAGTTCTCATAAAAAAATGACGACCAAATACTTAAAAAAAGAAAGTTGCTGAATTCCTTCAATGAAACATTTGCTGGACCCGCGCTCTTAGACATGTGAGCAAAAGAACAACAACGTAGGTTAAACTGGTTTCTCTCGCCTCGTTTTTCACGTTTCGTTTTCACGCGGAAGTCCGACCTCGAAGTAAACAAGCACGGCGGCCAGCGTCTTCGTTTCCCCGCCTGGCTGGACCCCGGAAGGACGAACACGAAGCAAAATTAATCTGACGCAACTGACTTCCGAGCCGAGACCCAGACGGGCAAGAACAAAACAAAATAAAAACGAAATAAACGAACCTCGAAACACAGAGCTTTGGGAAGAGACGTGAAACTGTGGAAGTACCAAGAAGAAAGGCGTGACAATGATGCTTCTCACTGCAAAGACGTCGTCGCTTAGACTTAAGAAAAAAAAAACGTTCTGTGTCATCTTCCTAGTTCTGGGACGACGTAAGAGGAAGAGGATGAAGACGAGGGTGAGGAGGTGTTGGGGAAGAGAGTTTTTGGTATAAAAGCGTTTGGCATGTACGCCGAGCAGTCACAACACATCTAGTCTGCTTCTATCCAACGAAGCCACACGCATACAGACTGCAGACACACGTGAAACAGTGCCTTCCACTTCAAGGAAAACCAAAGAAAGGAATATGATCGCCAAGGTAGGTGGGCCTCTGTTCATTACATGGGCTCTCTCATGTGCGCGGCCAGTGATGTCAATGATTTTCTAAACTTTTTCTTCGCTGACAAGTGAGACCACACCTGTGGCACCTCTCGTCACATTCTTTTGATTACACATCGGCATTTTAGAATCCCCGTGGGCATTCAGTATCAGTGTGCTTGATAAAATTAGTGCAGCGCATTGTAAACCCCCGCAAAGTAAAACAGTCAATAAGACCACTCAAATAGATAGACAGTTTCAGTTTCAGTTTATTTCGAACATAGTTACATGACATTAAATATGTCCACGAGGCAAGGAAAAAGGAGACTCGTATGTCTCCTGACGAGGCCTTCATCCCGGACTTACACGTCGGACAGCCAGGAGCAAAATCAGAGAAAATAAGTACAATGCTCATTGCACAACTTATATAAACAAAAAACAAACAGTAAAAAACACATTCGGACAAAAATTATACAAAATTTATATTGTTCAGGTTTAACAGTTTTATTAAGTTACATAAATATACAAAATTACATATTTTCGTGTTGAAAGCAAAATAATTGTAATTTCAACGAGGCAGGAAAAGTAGCTTTACTTGTTTTTTTAAAACGAGACATACTTGAGTTCTGATTAGCCAATTCGATTAGGAATGGGTATGCATTCAGCAGTGAAATAATCTGATAATCTATGTGGGATTTAACGTCCCAAAACCACCATATAATTATGAGAGACACCGTAGTGGAGGGCTCCGGAAATTTCGACCACCTGTAGTTCTTAACGTGCACCCACATCTGAGCACATGGGCCTACAGCATTTTCGCCCCCCTCGAAAATGCAGCTGCCGCAGCCGGCATTCGATCCCGCGACCTGCTGGTCAGCAGCCGAGTACCGTAGCCCCTAGACCACCGCGGCGGGACAATAAGACCGCTCGTGATGCGCATTTGTGACATCACTTCCCAATGACGCTTAATAGGATGAACCCTTCATGATCTCTAATTACCACAACCATGTCCAACCAATGCAATGGAATGGCCTAGTTTAGGCTGCAAAAGATTGTTATTTGGTGATTGAAAGATTTCATGCACAAGAGGTCGTCATGTCAGAATGTTGGAAGTGTACTTGCATGATATTTTCAATGTTACCAGAACTCAAGTGGATGCCACCGCGCAGTACGGATCAATGATAATTGTGATCTGTCAGCACAGCGTGTATTCACAGCAGTAATCTATATCTTTTAACAAAAATAGCCAATGTGCCATGGCGTTAAATGAACGGTTTCTAAAGTACGCAATTTCGGTCAGAGAGCAATAGCATGTAGTCGAGTGCATTAAGCTGATGGCATGGATGTGTTGTTTGCATGCACCACAGGCCGCACCTTTTTATCTTATATCTTTTCGCAGGGCAGTTATTTAGTAAGCCCTAGAAGAAAGCGCGATACGTTAATCATTTACAAACTGCCTTGTCATTCTTCAGGTTCTCGTTGCTCTCGCCTTTGCTGTCGCCCTCGCCGTGGTGCAAGTGGGCTCTCAGATCCAGTTTGTAAACCGGCGCCCTAGTGCTATTGTGGCAGCCGGTGCAGGTCCTGGCGCACCCGTGGCCGAGCCCGTTTACGTACGTGTGCACCAGCTCTCCCCTTCTGCAAAGAGCAGAAAAGTTTTTCTCCCCTTCACTATAGCGTTACTACCCCCTTCTCCTGTGCAGCGTAGCCTACCAGGCGCAGCCCTGCTTGATCTCTTCAAGCCTTTGTTCTTATCCTCCCTTTCTCACCCGATTTCTCAACAGGGGCAACGCATTGTATAACTGCAATATCACTACAATCACACCTCCTTTGTTGCAATATTACGCAACTGCAGTAGGCTCCTTTCGTGAAACTTCGATACCATATTGGTAAAGCGTTCAGAATATTGTCTAGTGTCCGTATACCGTGGTAAGTACACGTAGAAACTGATAATTGTAATGATGGTTTGTAAGCTCTAGAAAACTCCGGTCCTTGTAATAGTAGGTGCTTTTCAAAAGTATGTACCGCGCAAAAGCTTACGTGAGACGCAAAACCAGCTTTGAAGAGGGGAGCTTATTGCAGTTGCGACAAAAATTGAGCGATTGACTGAACAGAGCTGCAGCTAAAGGCGAGATGTCTTGGTAGTGGCCAATAGACAGAATAAAAATTCGGCGCTAAAGTCTACTTGTCTTTTTGCATGGATAAAACTCTTGAGCCAAACCATGACATTGAACGGTTCGTGTCGAAAAATTAGGCTTCCTCATCTTTTTTGAAGCACCAAACCATCGAGATAGCAATACAGTAAGAAATAAGTTTTAATGTTCTTGTTGTGATACTTTATGTCTAGATATCCACTGCACTGAGCACGTGATCAAAATTGAGCATAGTTTTTCAACTATCGTTTTTCTGTTTACGGGCGCAATAGGAAATATCTGTAACGCACAACAGCGTATGGTGCCTTAAACGTTGGTGAATTGACCATGGTGAAGAAAGAAAAACTACCAAATGTGCGCAGTTTTATTCTGTAGAGGACACGAAAAGTCCAGCTTTCATTCAAACATCGAGCAGAGGGGTGGTGTCCCCCGAAGATTTCATACGGCGACGTTCCCAGTTCCGTTAGTTTTTAAGAAAGTAGCTTCAGACTAATTCAGCAGCTGCAGGCCACAGGGGTCTGACACTGTGCAAGCTGAACACAGGCATGCGTACGATTTGGCAGGGCAAGGGTGACCGCCCCACTTAAACACCTTGGACTTGGAGGGAGGGGGATGCAAGGCCTGCTCCATCATCATGATCATCATTATGATTATAAGCCTGACTATGCGCACACCACTGGGCAAAGGCCTGTCCCACCAACCACCACTCAACGCGGTCCTGATCTTTCTGCTGCGACGTTATACCTGTGAACATTTTAATCCCATCAGCCCACCTCAATTTCTATCTCCCTCTGGTGCGTTTGCCTTTTCTTGGTATCCAGTCAGTTACTCTTTTACCCTTAATTAGTGGATGAAAAAAATTTTTGAGTTGAAATCTGAACTTGGCTACGTTTAACGCTAAGACGTTATATATTCTGCTCCATACGGTTATTTAATTATGACCACGCAGGCTTTTGACGATAATGGCAGCGAAAGGCTCCTGGCCGGCGTTGCATTCCGAGAACTGTGTACTTCCCATCTTTAAATCAGAAAAGAAAGGGACGAAAAGCAGTTAATTTTCGTTCTTTTCAACTATTAGGGAGCAGTTTGTCCTGTGGTCTCGACACCAATTGGGAGGGGGAGGGGGGGGGTGTTGTGGCAAAAAGTGGGGAATCCTGTGCACTCCCACATGTGTTAAGATGGCTTGCTGAAAATGTTCGTAGATCTTGTCTTGATGCGTCAGGACGTAATTTCGTGGAGTTTTGTGAAAGTATCACCAAAGTCGATCACATGACAATACTGGTCAAGAGAGCTCACTGCCTTTTTTGTTTTATACCGCAGCCGCCGCAGCCGTACAGCTTCGGCTACGACAACGTGGATGAGTACGGTACGCAGTCCTTCCGCAAGGAGGAGAGCGACGCCAACAACGTCAAAACCGGATACTATGGTTATCGCGACGCCAACGGCACCTTCCGGAAGGTGACCTACGTGGCCGACGCCAATGGCTTTCGTGCCACCGTCGACATGAACGAGCCGGGAACCGTCTCCGGCCACACCGCCGACGCTGTCTTCAGCTCCAGACAGGCCCAACATCTCGGTGTGGCCAAGTCAGCGTCAGCTCCGGCTCCGGCCTTCGCTGTGCCGGTTCAGGCGCCGTTTTATCAGGGACGGCCAACGCGTGTTCTCTTTACGAATTAATGTATCAAGAAGGACCGTATGATTTTGTATATGATTTGAGAGTAAACGAGTGCTGTACAATACGGAAAAAAAAACTGTTCTAAAACGTTGGCTTCTTTTTCTAAAATGTCGCACTTTCACCACAATGATGAAAGTGTGAGTTTCGTAGCGACAAATCGGACTGTCGTGCAAGATAAGGCTAGCCGTTAAAGTCATTTACCATGCGAAAAGACATGAATCGAGAAAACACTGGCATCGAGCGAAGCAATCTTCGTGCTGTCTATCGCTTCAGCGCAAACACAGCACGTACACTGGCATGATCCTTCAGCTAATCCCTGTCAGGGAAGTCCGCGCTACATTGACCGGCCGAAAAAAATACGCAGTTCCTTCCTCAGCAAACCAAAGCTTCCTTGGGCCCTTCATGGACCGTTAAGACTATCGAGCACGGCCGCTGCGTTTCATCTCCTATTGATCAGCGTTTGTCGGCTGCGCACTTAGGTTTCCACTCGCTCACGTAAGGCACTCAGCGATGTTACCGCCTTTACACCTTATACGGAAGCTCAGGGCGATAACGACAGCGATGCCGACAACAAAACTGCGCTTCAGTGTTCCTATAATTGCTATTACAATAAAAAAGCATTACCTGAAGTGGTATTCTAGTGAAAATAAAATTAGCCAAAACAAAGAAGCTGACGCACTAAAATGCATTTTTTTTGTGTTCATTCCGAACATCAGAAGTTGCATATATATATGCTTACCCAAGCTTAACCAAGGTTATACAGTCGGCCGATGAACACCCGTTTACTATGTGAGCTCAAAGGCTCTGCAATGAACATTCTTTCGCGTTGAGCAAGCCTTCAATACGTGACATATATAAACTTTGTAATTGTTGTTACTTCACTGCCAAAACAACAAAAAAAAAAAAAACGCTGATAGATGTTTTCTTCGGCTGTGCAGTGGCTATATGACGCTGACCTGCTTAACTAAAGGCCATTTCATGCCTTCTGTATCTCACTACTTTTTTTTACGCTTATAGTGTTAAATTTTATAGCCGTGAATACTTGCGAAGGTTATATATCGTGCGTGCTCATTTAATGTCTCAATTTGTCAGCACGGAGTGATACTGCTTTACCACGATCAAACCTCCAGCACCCAAATCACTGCCAACTGTGATCAGTACCGCTTCAATAACACAGTGTCTTGGTTCATTCAATGAATGCACAAGGTATTGACTTGCCGTAAGAGCGTCTCTCATAATCATATGGTGGTTTTGGGACGTTTAAACCCCACAAATCAATCATCAATCACTTGCCGTAAGTGATTACACTACCATAGGGCTTGCCGCGCTGTTTGCTTTACTGCAGGATAAACGGAAAAATCGAGAGCAGAACGTTGTCAGTGTTTATGCTTCTCTGTGTGCCAATTTTAGAGGAAAAAAAAACAACCAGAACTGTGAGTTTAATTAAAAGTAAGAAGTGATACGTCATGGGAGGAATTATGAAGAGCAAAACTGTCATGGCGCCCCCATTTGCAGTAAGAAAACACAGAGAGACAAAATACACGTGTATTTCTTTGTGCGTGGGTGGCACAAAAATGCGTCTGACCGTTATTTCCATTTCAAGAACCTTCGGCCACCTGGTGGGCTTCCGCAGAACTGATCCGCCAAATAAATCAATGGTTGACTACGACCTCGACCCACACGCGTTTCCTGCCGGACTCTTCTCGCCTCACTTTTGAAAATATTTTACTTCATAAATTGTACATATTCTGATTCTGTCGTAAAGAGAGAGAGAGAGATTATTTATTAGGAGGCTTGCAGAGAGGTCGACCTGAGCTAGTTCATTCTAGCCTGCTACTCTGGACAGGGAAGAGGAACCGGGGAAATAAGGAAGTAATGATGAAGGGTGACGATGGGGACAGCAGTTATGCGTACATACAATAACGACGCAGCATTGTGGCTTCGCTAGAGTCTATAGTTTTCCAGCCATGAATAATACATCTCGTTTATATGCGCCACTATAGTCTGATTGATGAATAAGTGTAAAGGAATCTCTGAGAAAGAGCAAAAAGCTACAATCGTTCTTTCCGAAAAACAAGGGATTAAGCTGGGATTACGGCTCGTTCGCGCCATGATCCGGCCATTGCATATATAGTGGCGCGCTTGGCCCGTTTCGTGCCCCACTGCCGCACCACCTGTTCGCCTAAGCGGCGCCGTTGAAGGCCACGAAGAGAAAGGGCGCGTCGAGGACAAGGCCACCCCGTAATGGCTGCTTCTACGCTGTGAACGCACGTTCGTTTATCTCGTGCGTTACGGAAACGTGAATTTGAAATTGGATCACTTACAATTTGCGCATTTTAGCGTACACTCTTAAGAAATATTGGTGTATTTGTGGAGTAGTTCTACCACGCAACAATAATCGTCGTCTGACCTGCTCGCGTTTCCTTTTTAGAAAAGCCGGCGATGGCCACTTTCCTGCCAAAAATGCTATGTCACACAGATAACGCACCCTGTTCGTGACCGCGAACTGCCGGAGCCGTGGTGATAACGCAAGGAAGTGCGCGAAGTAGATGACGATAGTGTAGTACAGTACTTGGATGCTGATATCTAAATCAGACAATGCCACCTAGAAATTTCAGGCCTGTTCACCGAGTCTGCCACGGGCTCTGACGTCACTCCGTTTAGACCGATGTGTTTTGCTGCACAGACGTGTAAGCTTGCTCGCATCGTTCAACAGACATGCATTGCCAAGCCCGACGAACGTTTTTGTGGCGTGCTGGTGTGCTTGTTGGCGACTCGAGAAGACCGTCTGTGTCCGTGAACTGCAGCGTGGATAGTGGTGTGTTTTCTGCATTGGAAATTCGCAAGCTGTACGGTGCAAATCCGAATGGTTGGGTGACGCTGCGTGGTGAATTGTCGAGGTAAAAGGCCGACGCTAGGAGTGTTTCCGTTGCCTAAGGGCAACCGACGAACGAAATGGGAGCCTGTCGTTCGTCAAGCTGACGTCGACATCCGTTTTATTTTTGACCCGAAGGTACGTGTGTCCGTACTACATATTTCTAAGTCGTTCCAACGGCACCATCTTCACCATATTTCATTCTCAATCTAAAATGAATGTGTCTTGTGTTCTTTTGACTTGGCGTAATTCCTGGCATTAAAATAATAAACGCGCGTGGCAGTACGTTTTCATAACAGGCGTTTTTCGTTCAGGGTCGGTAAAAATTTTGCTATGAGCGATCAGCGCCGCCGAATTGTATTACATCTGTTCACTTTGTTGAAAAAACTGGAAGGAATGCTGTTGAATTACTTAGTGCATTAGTTGTGTGCATAGTATTTTCTTGTCGGTGTTTCTACCACTTTATTGCCGTCAGCACTTTAGCTTATATGTTTCCTTTAAGTTTAGATGTGTATAGACACTTGCGGTGAAGTGCTTCCTTAACTGGTTTTCAGGTGTGTGATTTCTATTTCAAACTCTAGAATATTTAAGAACCACTACCGAAAATATACCGATTCAAGAGCCGGCAGTGCAGTATAAACACCCACAGGGGCTGCAGGGTTTAATATACTAGTAGTACTAATATTTTCCCCAGGTTCTAAGTTATATGACCGACTACGCACCACTGCGAGAGGGGCCAGAGCAAAAGAGGAAACGCCGCTACTTGTCTCAATCACACACACACAAAAAAAAATTCGTGGAACGAAATATTTTATTTTCTCCTTCAATGGTCATCACCTTAACATTGTGCTGAATAACACACTTGTGGCAGCATCACACGCTCTTCTCATAGCTACGTGTCTTGTGAACAGGTGTTCGAAAGAGTAAAATGAAACAGCAGAAACTTTGCAAATGAGTGGGAACGTTTCTCTGCAGCTCTAGGTGTGGGCGTGCGTGTGTGCGTAAATAAATAATAAATTTTACCCTATTTTTCCGTTAGTTCGTTGGTCCTATCATGTTTTGCTCTTACAGATTGACCACACGGTTGATAGCGTACAATCTGAGTTTTTTCGTGGAAGCGATGGCACCACTTGTGAATCACCGAACGCTTTAAGCGCAATACATTAAATGAAACCAGTGCCTTTTTTTTACCCAAAAGGCAGAATGAGCTGTTAAGCAGTAAACTCGCCGCGAACGCTTTATCTTTACACGGAGACGATGGTGGCAATGAATGCACAGCCTCCAGCACGCTCGCTTGGGCAAACGAGTGACGTCATGGCGGCAGTGAGCAGGCATGATAATCTTCTAGGTGGCATTAGGATCAGACAAAATTTTTGAATATATCAGAAGCAGTGTGCGAGCATTTGACAATTTACTTCCCCGCTCACCACCCTGAAAATATGAGACACGTGTTTGCTTATCCAATAGAATTGAAGACGGGTGGCTCACACGCTTATTTGCCAACCTTGTGGTGAACAAAGTTTCTTCTACCTCTAAATATTTGTCACCGCCGTGTTGAACTAATGTGCTTGTGTCATCAAAAGAAGGGGTAAATTTGCACACTGCGAAATGAAGGAATGGGTAGTTGCATGGTCTGCATTTTAGGTGAAATGGCATTTGCGGGGTCCAACACTCGGACGATGTCCCGATTGTATTATAAACATTACCTGTGTCCCTTTGTTTTCTTGCTGTATTCCACTATGATCTCGTGTAATGGATTCCGCTTAGTGAAATTCTAGCTCGGCTTTCCATACTACTGCAAATATAGATCGCTTTCCCTGAAGACGTTAACATCGGGACACCAGGATCACTGAATGCCGAGAAAACGCAGACTCATAAGCGAAAAGAAACAAAGATAGAACGCAATAAAGCTCTTTCCTTTGGGCGCTCCGAATAGCCGAAGCTGCCGCCCGGGTTGAGGACTTAGAGCCGTCACCTGAGGCCCCGATACAACATCGACGAAGGCTGGAACGGCGCAGGGGTTGATCCCTTCTTTCCCCCGCCCAGCCCGAAGAGAACTGCCGCATGAACCCTAAACAAAGCTTATTCATTCTCATTTATTGCTCAATCGCTATGCTGTAGTGAATATAGAATTCGATCGAGCAGCGAGTTCCTAGCTATAATGCAATTCGATCAGCGGCACTGAACTC